TAATGGTGTGTTGCCAGGTCAACTGCTAATCCTTTCCAGGGTTTTATAGGTAGGGAATAGACAGAGATGGTTCGCCTCTCCTTTCTTTTGGGGAGAAGTTCCACATCTCTCCTAAGCCCAGGCAGGAGGGGGTCCTCTCCCTGGAGGCACAGCGGGGAACCGAACTCACAAGACCTAAACTGTTGAGCTGTCTAGACCGACTCTTTCCCACTAGTCCACTACAATTTCAATGGCTCAGAAAGTTGTGTTTCACTGCAGTCATAATTCATTTTAAGATAGCAGTTCACTCCTCTTCAAGAGAGGTGTACTATTTTGCTTTCACTCCAATGCATTTATTGCAGTTAGCGGTTGTTATATTTTAAAATCTGGAGAATGCCACCGGCTTCTGTTTCACTTGCTTTTCATTACTCTGAAAGGAGTCTGAATAGCCTTTTTGTCTTGTCTTGTGAGAGGCCTTTCGATTGTTTCAGCACTAAAAAAAGTTGTGCCCTTTTATCCTATGCCTGACTTAATTTAACACAGGTGGGTGATTGCCAAGAACAGCATATGCTTACCCCTGGACCTTCGAGGGCCATTTCCATGACCCATCATCTCCTTTTTTAAAAATAAAAAAAATAAAAATTGATTCTTTTCCATTAAAAAAAGCCCATTTTAAAAATTTATAATTTTGGTGATGGTGGTGGATCCTTAGGGGGATGGGATGACTGGAAATGTAAAACTTTCCCCCAAAGTCCCTGTAGGGCAGAATGGGACTTTTTGAGCCACTTTTTTTTCTTTAAAATAAAAATAAAAATGAAACTGAGGATGTGGAAATGTGAGGGAGGGGCACAGGTAGCCTCTGGGTCACCTGTTGCCCAACCCTGGTTTAAAGCACCGTGATATCTGAAGCATGTTGGTTCAAGCCTAATTTGTTCATCCAATTTCATCAGGCCTTTCACTTTGTCTTTGTTTAAGCAACTGAAATAACTTTTGTGTAACGCAAAATACCTTAGAGGATTTGTAACAGCTAAATGCAGGAGAATAGCTCATGGGTGGCTTTTCACTGTTCCAAAGTGAAAAAGTATACTTTAATCTGAGACAACCCTGGGAAACAGTAGTTAACGGGGCTAAGATAATGACAGGGAAAACAATGTATCAAACCATTCCTATACATACTGTAAAGTAATCGTTCCTTTTAGGGACTACACCTTCCAGGTTCCCCTACCAAGCATAACCTCTTTTATGAAACGATGATGAAAGAGATGGGATGGAACCGGTAAGAATTCTTCAGAAGCTATAGAATGATGCTGGTCACCCACTAGATTCTCTGAAGTGAAGCAAGGCCTTTTTCATTGGTGACATTTAAGCTGTGGAACTCCCTGCCACAGGAAGCAAATCTGACCACTTCCCATCCTTTTTTCTGACAGATGACTGGGCATTTTTTGTTCCACCAGGCATCCTGTAATAACAGTGCAATTTCTAATTAGCAATTTTTTTTTGAAAAACTGACTAATGCTGTTGTTTATTCTATTAGATTTGTTCTTTCTGCTTAATACTTAGAAGGCCATTGCAAATTACTTGTCGTTTCACACAGTCTGTCCTGTGGCATCTGGATTATGCTGCAGGCCTCACCCTAGGTGTGATCAGAGATGCTGGCCAGAATCCCATCACCAATTTATGTATGTGTGAGTGAAATTATGCAGATTGCAGCGGCAAATTGCCATTAATTATCAAGACATCAGTCCCTGGTTATCTACCTGTTGTGTGACTGGGCATGCAACCAGCATATACAGTAGTCAATTACAAGACTTTGCATTTACATTACAACTTACATTACTTCACTTACATACATGGAAATCATGAACGGGATTCTAGCCACTGGTTCCTTCTCAATCTTGAAGGAAGAGTCGGTTCCTTCCAGTCATTTCCTGAGCACAAGACGGGAGGCATCTTGCTTTAGTGGCAAAATGTCTGTCTTGATGCCCAGAAGCCTGGCCACTTCTTGCACTCTGCACATGTTCAGAGGCACTGTTTGACCTTGAATCTATATTTCTTTTAATGCTTCTAGCCCATCACCAAGTGTAAGTGACTAGGCAGACCTTTAGACCTACTGTAATTGGCAGGATTCTTCTCTGAGGTTCTCCTGGACCGCAAGGAAGCTCAAAAGATTCATGGTCTCTGCACATACTCAGAGGCATCTACTCTACTGCTGACTAGAAGGGGCTGTTAGACAGACCCTTCTCCTCTGAAGTCCTCAAAAGACCCCCAAGGGCACACCTGGCTGCCACCTACACTCTCCACATGTTCAGAGGCCCCCTTCCAGTGCTGCTCCAGCAAAGCTCCTTCTCTTACGCTCTCCAACATCCCAAGGACCCCCCCCTCCGGCTTTTTTGCACTCTGCACATGCTCTTCCTATGTTGGCAGCCCTTCCTCTCCTGCAGAAGGACGCTTCCTCTCCTTTTCTCCCCCCCCCTTGGAAACCCCTACACACCTCACCCTCGGCCCCAAGACCCCTCAGGCCTCGTCCTGGCGCTCTGCACATGCTCAAGGCTCCCCTCTCCTTTCTCCTCTCCCGGCCACTC